TGGGCAATTCAGCAGAAAAAACATTGGCAAATTCTTTTAGGATGGCAGCTTCTTTAGAGAAAAGGCTTGGTTTTTCTGGAGTGGCTTCTTTAGAGATGACACATATAGCAAATATTTCTTCATTGGTGGGTGTTCTGGCAAGTTGGTGTTTGGAAATGAAAAGAGAGTGCACTCAGGTTTCTTGGGGGCCTGGAAGATACTAACAGGGACTTTGATATTGCACAGTCCATCGTTGAGAGAGTGTGTGTTGGTTCTCCAGTCAATGTGGGGTTGGCTTGATACAATCATGGTTTTTCCATGATGACATCATATCTTTGCAACTCCAGTACTTGGGCAGAAAATTCAGAGACATGGTACTTTCCCAGTTTCAACTTTTATTTTGATGGTGACTTCTTTCCTTTGTCCATCAGCAAGTTTCACAGAAAAAGGTTGGGTCAGCTTCTTTGTTATACAGTTCTTTTTCGGTCTACAAAATTTGAGTTGTATCATTATTTTGTTGATTTTCTTAGTCTACTTTTTGAGTTTTTTTTCTGCATTAGTATGGTGATATTTTTGGGCTAAGTTTATCTTGATCTTTCTAATGTATTTGTTGAGGATGTTTAAGCTAATTCTATGGAATTTGTTATAATAAAAAGATAATAGAAAAATAATCTAGTAATCTAGTTCTCTAGTGAACTTTAAAATGTTTTCTTTTGAGATCAAATCGAAGACTGGTTTGATTTTTCTAAACTCAAAATAGTCTAGCTTTATTGAGACTGCATGATAATCAGTTGGGACAGTGTCTAACTCTTTGACCTTGTACCAAATTGCTTTGGGGCAAGGATTCTTGACACTCATGCTTGGTCTATATGTATGAGACACTAGTATTGGTAATATGGATAAAGGCTTTGTTCTTATATTGTTATTTAATGTCAATGTAGTTATTGAGATGTTTTAGACTAGCTGTTTGTATAATGAAGTTTTGGTTCCAATTGATGGATGATCTTTGGAATAAGAATTGAAATCTCCTAAAGTTATATGATGAAACTTGTTGTGAATAACAAATTTGGTTGTTTGGTGTAGTTATTTGAGAGCTGGATTTCTTTCTTTTTTCTAATATGAAAGGTATATTTACACTGCTTTTAAATTTTAGAATGATTGAAAAGCAGTATTCAGAGACTGAATACATGTGATAAGAGATCTTTGCTAAACCTTTCAGATTTTAAATATAATCCAAAATCTAATTTCGAAATTCTTTAATTTATCCTAAATTCCATAATTATTCCCAAATTCTGAAACTAATCTGTAATTGTTTTAATTATCTAATTAGTAATCATATAATTTAAATAATTATCTTATATCGATATGCTTCTCAAATATGTCACCATTACTTTTGCAATGTTTAATTAGACTTGCATATAAGTAAATATTATTCTTGCTCAGATTCTGTACTATAAAACAAATCGATGAAGAAAACCATGGAAAGATATGCATGTCACCTGTGCTAGAAGAATAGTTATATGCACATATCCATTAGCTAATATTACATTGTGGAGAATAAGTCCGTGTTCCAATTATTAACACATTATGGTAGTGCACAACCTTATTTCATTTACTATTTCACAAGGGTAAAGTCAAGAATCGGTAACAAAAGAAAAGAATTGTAATGTACATACTAGCATTGAGTAGGGCTCTGAAAAATACCAAACTGGTATTGAAATGGTACCAATCTATAGTAAATTTAATATATGGGTTGTGACCTACACATATATTTTTGTAGTAAATTTAACTATCGAACTGGTATTGAAGGGGTATTGTTAGGAGCCCTAATCACTAGGCATGTCATTCTGATAGTTCTATTTAACTGAAGTACAGTGGTTGCACTTCCAGAAATGGCCAGGCTACTGTCCAAAGTATACAATAGTGTTGTTGATATATTTCTTTAATAATTAATTGGTTGTGGTGGTGATATTGTTGTAGTTGTAATATGATTATTAAACAGTTTGTTTGTTAGTAGTGTGATTTTGTTTTGGTTGTTGTCATCAGAAAAGGTTTTGTTTACATCAATCAATATGTAATGCTTTGGTTATACAAAATTGTTTGGATTGAGTTTGAAATGTTGATCAGTTGACAGGAGTAAACTAATTACAGTTTTTTGGTAAAAAATTTTTTGTGACACAGCATTATATGCTGAATAATGTTGAGAAATAGATATTAAATATACTGCTGGTATCTCAAGCCAGCTGTATAAACAATATTGATATGAAATTGGATTTTTGGAATAAAGAAACAGCTCATTAAGAAATTTTGTTTATTTAATAAAAAATGTATATTAATAAGAAGTAAAAATGAGAAAACCCCAAGAAAAATCTAAAAAGAAGCAACTGTCGTGAGCTATTCCTCATGCAATTAAAGATGAGAGCAAGGGTCCCTTCTCTTGGCCAGAGGTCCCATCCTGATGCACCAGTATGCTTCTTTTGTTTCCTTGAGGTTCTTGTAAGGCTTTTGAATATTGAAAGGCAAAAAAACATTTTTTTCTTTAATTTTGAGAAAAAAGTTACTATAAAAGAAAATTTTTAAGAAAAAGGTTGTGTATGGGAAAGAGTTTTTAACAGTGCAAGTTATTATCAACAACAATATTACAACTTAAAATATCATTGTAAGAAGAGTAAAAAAATTTAAAATTCAATATTTTGTCTAATTTAATTGAAAGTATATCAAAATGTATTAAAATGTAAATTAATAAAAAGAAGTATATTTAAATATTAAAGCTTATATATGTATATACAGTCAAACCTGGATATAACAAAGCCTTTGGGCTAATTAGTAAAAATTGAAAAAAATTATTTAAAAATTCATTATAAAGAATTTTTAAAAATTTATATAATAAAATTCTCTTTTTATAATGAATTTTGAGTAAATTCAAAATTCAAAAATTCATTATAACCAGCATTTTATTATAGCTTCGTTATAAACAGGTTCGTTATATCCAGGTTTGACTGTATATATATATTGCATGTTTGTTAAATAGAGGGATAAAAAAATATATTGAGCTAAGAAAAAATATTGAACGTAATTCAATAAAAAATATATTGGCAAATATGTTTTTTTTTATTTGCTATAATAAAAAGCAATATTGCAAATTCCAAATTCTTTTTTGCTCTACTGTACATATGTTACTCATTGGCAAAGATTAATAATGTGGGCTAAATCGAAATATTTAGCCTAAATCTAAATCCAAAATAGTCCTAAATAAATTTAGGAAAAAAAAATAAAAATCCAAAATTCCATAATATCCTAAATTTTCTGTAATATCCCAAATTTTCCATAATATATTTTTTTTGGGAGGTTTTCCCCATAGGTAAACATCATTTCTTTATTTGATATTGTATATAACAAGATATACATTGTGAAAGAAACAACATCTCTTATGTATATAAAGTAGCAAGTTAAATGCTAGCTTGCCTATACATACACATTTAGCTAATATTGAAAAAGAAATTTAAACAATACTATATACTAGCTTTGCCTAAATAGCGGTTATGTCTACCTACTCAGAAAATTTGATGTTTTTTTAAATATAAGAAAAATAAAAATATATACAACGATAGAATAACTAGAGCTGAAACTAAATCAAATAAACAACAAAATTTTTGACGATAAAGTTGATGTAGCCAGAGAAACCCCTTGCTCAATTGTAGGAACTGGAGTCTACTAAGTTTCCCCATTGTTTGCACATGCTTTGGTGACAAAGAAATTATGGTATAGTTGATGTTGTTTGGAGTTATTGTTGTTGTTGTTGTTATTGTTATACTGGAAAACCGGTTTAAACAGGTTCAGTCTTTGCTTTGTTGTTTTAATAAAATATGATTGGATGATTGAAGAGCAACGATTATCTGTAGGGGGTAAGCTGATTTCAGTTTTTTGAGTGAATTTTTGAGAATTTTGAGGTGGCGCAGCAAATATTGCTACTGTGAAGTTGAGTGTGAAGGTTGACTTGAAACAAACATTAGATCCTACAACTTTGTTTGAGTGTGTTCTTTGGAAAGTATTTTGTTTAACAAGTAAGATGGTATTGATGTAGATGGTTTTTATGATATAATAAGGGTAAGGATGTGTACAAGAGAACAAAAGAAAAGAGAACCGCCACGGGCCTTTCCTCATGCAACCAAAGGATAAGCAAGACTCCCAAACTTGAATAGACTTCGACCAGAGGTCCCATCCCACTGCACCAGTTGTCTTAAAGGTTCTTGAGTTCTTGAGCTAGAGCTCACTTGCGATAAAGAGTGTAAACCATTTTTCTTGCTTAAAATTACCATAAAAGGAAAATTTTTAACAAAACAGGTGCGATCAGGAGAGAATTAATTTTCCATAATATTCAAATAACAAAAAAGTCTTTTTTATTAAACAATTTATCAAATTTTCGATTGGTCCTATAATCGATAAGTTTATTAGATATTTATGTCATTATAAAAAAATCTAGTTGTCAATATATCCATTCGCTGCTGCTTCCCGATCCCAGTTCTCATCCACATTTTTTGATAATTATCTGAATTTCTGTCTCTTTATTTTCACTGAGTTCTTGAATACTATTTTTACTAGATTATTCACCAAAATCAGAACTATACATGTTGCTGAAATTCATAGATCCTTGATGCAATTGACACAATTATTTGACGCAATTAATTGAGTCACTATTAAAACATATAAATAATTGAGTCATGACGCAATTATTTTTGAGGATTTTTCAACAGCAAAATAATTTATGCCACATGTATAATCAGAACCAAATTCTCTTACATCTAAATTTATCAATCTTTCTATTATAAGATTTTCCTCTTCTTGCATCTTGTTTTCATTAATATCATTTTCAGTATCATCTTCATGTGCAGATATAATATCTTCTTCATTATTATCTTCAAACACTTTGCTTTTATTAATTATTTTTCATAATTCGCTGGGAGTTTTGTTAGTACCATAATATGGTAATTCTTTTTTAGCATTAGAAATATAAAATGTAGCTAATTTTTGCATACTTTCGAGTTTGTGTAAGGCAAGTCAAGTTCAGCATTTTCCATAATACCAGCCAAGCATCGACCAATTTCTTTCACACACCACTGCATGATAAGTAATTGAAAAAAGCTTCATCGTAAGTTAACATATATAATCCTTCCCTTCGGCAAAACAATCTTCAATAGAAGATCACCAAAGTTGTGGCGATTCATTATCTCTGAAAGAAATATCAAATAGTAAGTGTCTTTTGTGATAAGCATGTATTTGAGCCATCAATTCTTCACAAGCTAATGTCATTTTTTACATTTTTTTAAAGATGTCATCAGCGGCAAGAAGAATTTTATGAAAAATGTCTCAAGAAAATACTATTTCTATAAAATAAAACATGTGAATAATGTAAGAATAATAACACAAAAAATAATAATAAATAATTTACCTTTATAACCCGGATGTAAAAAAAAACATAAAAGATATGTATTATCATTAAACTCATTAAATCTTTTATTGAATATAGCAATTGATTGGTGTCGAAACATGCGATGATCTGTATCAGGTAGTTTCTTGATAGCAGCACCAAGTTAAGCAAGTCCTATAAAACAATCGGAGAGTGTACAGTCTTGTGATTCTGAATCAGCAATTGCTTTTTTCAAAGGACGTAAGGTAAAAGATAGAACATGTAAAATATCAAAAAAAGCTCAACTTCTTAAAACACCTAATGCAGAATAAGAAAGCAATTCAGGAAAACTAAAATGTATCTAAAACAAATAATAATATCAGAAATTATAATAAAAGTTCATAATAATATATTAATACTTACAGTCTCTAAAGGAATTCGGTGATATAAAACTGAATTTACACAATTATACATAGTGTGCTATACATGTGGCATAAATTATTTTGCTGTTGACTCAATTCCCAAAATTCTTAAAAAAAATAATTGCGTCATGACTCAATTTTTTATATGTTTTAATAGTGACTCAATTAATTGTGTCAAATAATTGCATCAATTGTGTCAAGGATCTATGAATTTCAGCAACATGTATAATTCAAACTAATTCATACTATCAAAATATCATCTACTGATCAACATAAACAAAACCTTTTTTGATAATAACTATCAAAACAAACTCACATTATCAACAAACAAACCAATTATAATATTAATAAACAAATCAACTACTGGTTATATCAACAAGACAATAATACAATTATCACAACAAATCGACAATCAAAGAAATATATCATTAACTATATATGTTGCTAAAATTTGTAGATCCTTGACACAATTGACACAATTATTTGATGCAATTAATTGAGTCACTATTAAAACATATAAATAATTGAGTCATGATGCAATTATTTTTGAGGATTTTGGGAATTGAGTCAACAGCAAAATAATTTATGCCACATGTATATCATTAACACTACTGTATACTTTGGACAGTAGCCTGGCCATTTGTGATAGATACACATACACCATACCTCAGTTAAATGAAACTACCAGTGTAGCATGCTTAATAGAAGCATTTTTAGCTTTACAATTAGTTTTTTTGTATCCATTTCTTTGTTTAGTATTTTATTTCTTTTTTACTTCTTATAGTCTTTTTACACATAAATCTGAATAGGTATTCATAGCTACTTGGTATTATTTTTGACAATGTATTGGTTTTAATATTTTTTTTTCTTTGCAATTTAGATAATTTACCATAGGCAAGCTGATATTAAACTCGCTAATCAACTGGTCATGTGAGAGATATTGTTACTTTCTTCATATATAAAATTTTTAATTTTACAATTATAATAAAGTAATGATGTTTACCTACTTTAAAAAAAAAAATTAATTATATCATATATAAAAATAGGTCCTTAAATTATTTAGCATATAAAATTTCACAAATTAATTATTACTTTAATAGGGACATATCGTAATTCAAAAAACACTTGGATCAAATAATCTAAATTGCAAAAACCTTTATAGATAGTTTTTTTTTGACTTTATATTTAAAAAAAAACTTTTTAATAGTAAGGGACATTTGAATTATATCCTCGCCTTTAATTTAAGAACCCATCTTTAATTATATAACAATTTCATTACTTGTTATATATGAAAGATTGGTTTAATGTTATTGTCTAAATAAAAGATTTGATTAATATTATTTATAATTTGGTTGGTCTCTTTTGAAGTTTTAACATATTTAAAAACATATTAAACATCTTTAGTATAAAGTTTATATTTTGAAAAAAAAACTCTTTCCCGTATACAACTTTTTTTCTTAAAATTTTTTTTTTTTGGTAATTATCTTTCAAAATTAAAGAAACAAATATTTTTCTTGTCTTTCAACTTTCCAAAGTCCTTTACACATCCCTTACCTTCACTACAAGAATCTCAAGAAAACTAAAGAAGTATGCTGGTACATTGGGATGGAATCTCTGAACAAAGGAAAGCAAGTTTGGGGACCTTGCTCTTTCTTTGGATTGCATAAGGAAAGGCCTGTGACAGTTACTTCTTTATAAATCTTCCTTAAGGTTCTTCCTATTTTCATTTCTTACAGATATATATTTCTTATTAAATAACCATATTCTTTTTTTGAAGATCATTTTTGCAAATCAAAAAACCAAACTACATATTAAAAATGTTTATATTGTTGACTTGAAGGACTAGCAATATATTTATTGTTTACTTTTTACTATTACTTAGCATAATTTGCTGTGCTACAAAAACCATTAAAATTTTTTTCAAAAAAATTTTCACAAAAAAATCACAATCAATTTACTCCTGTCAATTGATTAATATTTCAAAACCAACCAATCAAACACTACCAATTACTCAAACAAATATGTACTATCAAAATACCACCCACCAATCAATATAAACAAAACCTTTTTTGGCAATAAAAATCAAAACAAAATCACATTACCAACAAACAAATAAATTATACTATCAACAAACAAATTAATCACTAGTCATATTAACAAAACAACAACACAATTATCACAACAAATTAACTATTAAAGAAATATATCATTAACACTACTGTATACTTTGAACAGTAGCCTGACTATTTGTGATAGATACATATATACTGTACCTCAGTTAAATGGAATTACCAGTGTGGCATATTTATTTGAAGCATTCTTAGCTTTACAATTAATTTTTTTGTATCTATTTCTTTGTTTAGTATTTTTTTTTTTTTACTTCTTATAGTTTTTTTACACATAAATCTGAGTAGGTATTCATAGCTGCTCGGCACTATCTTTGATAATGTATTGGTTTTAATATTTATTTTTCTTTGTAACTTAGATAGTTTACTATAGGAAAGCTAGTATTAAACTCACTGAACAATTGGTCATGTGAGAGATGTTGTTACTTTCTTCATGTATAAATTTCTCAATTTTACAATTATAATAAAGTGATGATGTTTACCTACTTAAAAAAAAAAAAGTATATATTTTGAACAATATATATTTTTTTTTGATGTTAAGGTAAGACACTTCTTATAATCTTTATTGATAGAGTAAATATATAATGTTACATAATCAATATTAAGATATGAGATATATGGCTATACATATTGGTCTACCACCTATTGTAGTAGATATATTTCCAAAAAACCTTGAGCAGACAAAAAAAGAAAGAAACTATTTACTAAGAAAAATAAAAAAAAAAAAAACATTTGGGGCAAGATCACCATTTAGTAAAAAAAAAAAAGTAGAAAAGGAGAAGTGTCGGAAAAATATTGAAGCTTTTGTTAAATGTGGTTCCTGAATACAAATAATGTTTCAGTTGGATGACAGCATCGTGCAAGCCACATATAACTTGATAAGTTTGATCAGGTAATTTTTGTGATATGTTGCTATTAAATAATGTGGCTGTGTTGTGGTATTATAATGAAGTAACTGAAATATGTTTCAGATGTTTGTTGTTTTGTTGTAGTGGGTTGTTGTGTATTGTGATTACCAGAACCCGTGCAGGGCACTAATCATGTGCTCTCCCAATCCAATAAGTTGTTGTATTGTTTTGATATGGTTTGGTGATATGGAATGTCATTGGTATTTTATGTGTTGCAAATTTTTTGGTGGAGGTAAGCTGATTTCAATTTTTTGTATGTGGAGATAGACGAGGACTAGGGCTCCTAATGATACTACTTCGATACCACTTTGATATTAGTTTGATACTTAAATTTACTATAAAAACATATAAGTAGGTCACAACCCATATATTAAATTTACTATAGATTGGTACCATTTCGATACTAGTTCAATACTAGTTCAGTGCTTTTTTGAAACCCTAACGAGAACTGACAACTAGTCAGAAGGTTATATCAATTAACTTGGTACTAGTTATCATCAGCAGAAAACAAAAACTCTGAAAAAATAAAATACTGCCTCTTGAAGAGAAGATTGTATTTGATTTTGTATATGTTTTTTGTGATGTGATAGGTAGTAATATGTGTAAATATGGTAAAAAGGTTTTCCTTAGTTTGGAGGTTGCTTATATAGGTTTTATCCAGTAAAGCAAAGAGTTTCATCAAAGAGATTTTTGCCACTCCCAAAGCATCCACCCCTCTATGAAGAGTTAATTGACCCCTTGCACCCTGCAGAAAGCTAAGATAGACTCCTCTTCCAGAAAAAGATTCTTGTTTGCTATTTACTATCTACTGTTCATGTCATTACCAAAAAAAGAAATTTTTTATGAATTGAAAGGTTGTGGGAGAGAGTTTTTTTTTAACAATATATATTTTAATATTGGTTTAGATAGTATTGATAAAGCATTTGACAAGTTAAAAGAATTTTCAAAAATAATTTAACTTTAAATACTATTAGACTGCTGTAGTTGTTATTATATATATTTTTTATAACTTTTAAGTCATATAAAGTATAATGTTATTTAAAGATTTGAAAGACTAAAGTGCTTTCACAAATTATATAATTTTTGATAATACTGAAGATTTTTTTATACTATTTAATACTATTACCCAAGCATATATTATTAATTAAAAAATTTTTTGAGAAATGGATTAGAAAATTGTTTTATTTTTATTGAATAGTTTTGATAATTGTTGATTTTAATTTTGGTTTGACATATATTACTTTTATCAATTTCTACTTTATGACTTGATTTATTTTTTAAATTAAAAAGAAAAAATTAATCCAAACTATTATTTTGGGATATATTGACACTAATCAAAGAATTTTTTTATTATTTTAATTTCAATAGTATTGTATTAAAAACTTTATTGAATAATATCAAGTATTATAAATAAAACATTACTAAAAGTCAAATAGAAATTGATAAG